GAATAAGGAAGGAATTTAATACCGATATTGGCAATGAAATCATGTAAATTTTTTTTTTTAATAACATATAATGTACAATGCGAGGCCCACTCTCGGTCTTAATTTTATTCACAATGGTAATGAACATAATGATAATGAATGTAAGAGGTTTGAGAAATAGTACTAGATTAATTAAATTGTTGAACTTAAATGCAATAATTAAATTGTTGAACTTAAATATGATTAACGTTAATGTGCTAATTTAAATTAAATTTAATAAATTTATTCGTCATCAGCCTTCTTCACATATTTTCCAATCGTTTCGACCGCATCTTCTAATCCATTTTCATCCTTTAATTCTTCCATAAAACTAACATCGCAGAAAAATTGTTTTAAAAATTGTTCTAAATAATTTATACGCTCTGTTAAAGTTTCATCTGTACGTGGTTGTTCGATCAATGGAATTGCTTTTGGATATTGTTTTTTGTGAAGTTCTTGCTTTATACGACGACGCAAAAAGAAGCTTTGACATAGACCCCACGGATGGACCGGTGCAAATCCTATTATAAAAAATTTATTTAAAAGATTGCTATCATAATTACTGTAATTAGTAAACTTTGTAAAATTATAACTCACCGAAACACAATATATATATTCCGATAAGAAGGCCATAGAATCCAGCGAGTAAACTAAGGGAATCCATAATCTAACGTTTTCAGACCATATAATTAATTGCCAATGATTACAGAAAAGTACAAAATAGTAATATACAGTAACATAACACGCAAAACTTACTCGGTGCGATCTATTTCACGTGAAGTTGACGATATTGACAAATAAAAGGTAAACGTAAGTGATTTTTACAAGGCGATTACAAACTTTCGGGTCGACACCCTGGTCAGCTCGGACCTGTATTTACCAATTAATCATTTCTATAGTAAAATTGTTATATAATCATTTTTTTTAAATGATTTTGGTAAATTTATTGACATCGGTCCGGCCGGCCAAGATTACGACTTGGAATCGTTGGATGAGTTATGATAAATGATGTGTGCATCATATAGTAAAAAGATACTAACTTTCCTTCTGTTTCTACATTTTGAAACCAATTCATTGTTCCAACAAATAAATTAGCATAAAATTGTTGACCGGTAATAGTCTGATTAGTAGAAGCTAAAGCTGCAGTTCCAGGATTTGTTACGGATTCTAATTAATTATGCCGGATTATTAATTAAGATGTATATATATATATATATACATAATTTCAAATGATAATATTTTAAAAGACCTAACCATATTTAGTGGTAATATATTTCTCTTCAAAATGGCTAGGCGGAATTCCTAATATAGTCCAAAAATTTGAAACTTGTTTTCTTCTAATATGCCTATTTATAAACATCCAATTCATCTTTTTAAAAATAAAAAAAAAAATTTATTAGCATTGAAACTTTATCATCAATACAAATGTCCATCATAAAAAATTTAGCCTGCATACTTGTTGAAATCCAATAACGTGTAGGTTCAAATCATCAAGCGATTTGAAAAATTCTCCATCTATTTTATGCGCCGATTCATTAACGCTCAATGGAACTGTAATGGGATTAAATTCCGAATCAAAAGCTTTTATCAACATCCCTTTATCATTATCTCGAACATATCTTGGATCATCAATATTTATTGTAAAGTACATCCCATATCGTTTGGCTGTCTGATTAAACACAAGCCCTTCTGTTGCTGTAAAGTATCCATGCCAACGGTCATCTGAGGTTGCATTATTACATGATGGTTGAAGGATAAATGATGAACATTCTTGGGGTGCTGATTCACTGCCATCTAAATCGAAGACATAACAATTAAATGAAATAAATGACTGATGGATCATGTATTAAAAACCTAAATGGCTGAATATTTACCAGTAAATCGAAACACACAAGAAATATTAAAATGATAGTTAAATATAAGTTCCAAATCTAAATTTAAAAAAAATTTTTTAGGAGGTGGCCGGAAATAACATGTCTTTTCGTCTTTAGCATACATGGCATACAAGATCAATTCACCAACCTGGAATAGGAATTACTGACGAAGGTTCCAAATTACTTTTAATAACACCACCATCAAATACCAAGAAAATCGTTAAAATAGCAAAATATCCCGCGAGCAAAGCTATAATAATTAATAATACTATTCCTCTAGTTGCTATTAAAAATGTAGGTTCGGTCTTTCGATACCTTCCAAAAACATCTTTTGTTTCATGGATAGCCTCCATCTTTTTTTTTTTTTTTTTTACAAGATGTTATATATTATGCAAAAGATATATTCACTTAGAGCTTATATGAGAATGCCTCCTCGTAAAAGAAAACGACAAGGCGTAAAGAAATTTTCCCAAAGGCTCAAGGGAAAAAATTTAAAAGCATTGCATGCGGCGCATTAATACTGCAGTTCAAAGCAATAAGGAACCAACATTATTTTAAATTCCTTTTTCGACCGTTCAGGGTGTTACACTAAATTGCGTATTACACCAATGACAAATACTTTCAAGATCCCTTTATTGTTACGTAGATATTTAACGTTAGCAAATTATCTTTACATCGTATATGGAAAGCTCATTGTGCATATATATTATGTGGATCTATTGTGTTTGTGACACCTGTCGCAATTACGCTAATAACCGTATTTAGGCTTTTCAAAATCATGCAAATTTCGCCTCTTAGGATCATATGATATATGCACTTAGAAGGGATGTTGCATTTAAAGTGCATTGACCATAGAAGGTTAATTCACAAATTCTGTAATATATTATTATGATTAATACTAACTTTAGTTAATTAAATTGTGTCCGATCAAATTGTATTTTATATGACCTATTATGGCCTTTATGACCGATCATAGACCATATATACTCACAGGAGGGACCGTTCAATGTTTCACAAAGTTCATCAGTTACACGAAATGCCACATGTAAAACCTTTAATGCTTTCCGACCCTTATTTAGTAAAAAGGAGTTGTTGGATTAATTTTGGGGTAAAGGTTTGCATTTGAAGGGTGGTTAAAAATAAGATGATCTTGATTTACGAGGCTTACGGTTTGTACTATCATGCGCACGATTTGTCACATCCAAAATTTTATCATATGATTTTCATAAATTACACAAATCGACGAATTTACATTTTTTAA